CCTCCTCCTCCTCCGCCTCCTCCTCCTCCGCCCAGCAAGATCGACCCCCCTTGATGGACCCGACATCGGCAGCGCAGCCAACCATGCGACTCAAACGACCGTTTTCCGACTGTCCTACTTCTCTGGTGTACTTTCCGCGCCTCTTTGCGACGCACGTTTCTCCGGAGGCAACGTGAAGCGCCGTCTGGTGTCTTAGGGTCCGCGTCGCACGTACCCCAACGATCAGTTCCCCCAGGACCCAAAGACGGTTCGCCCGGACCCCAGGCCCCGTTGGTTCCACTCTCTTCCACCCCAGCCACGGATAGGTCCGAGGACCCAACCGCCCCAGCGTGGATGCCCGACAGGGAGCGCCTATGAACTCCCGCGCCCAACACTAACAATAAGCAGGAATCAGGCCAACCTGAGCCTGCGCAGGACGACGCAATCCCAGCGACCGCGAGTCCAACTCCCCTAACTGCCCGAAGGGGGGGGGCGCCCCCAGAGGGGCATGGGTGCGACCTGTGCAGCTGCGCCTCAAGGGTTTTTGGGGAGCACCCACCCCGCCCGACCATGGCCGAAGCCACCGCCGAACAACACGGGAATCGAGCACCCCGCCGGACCGTGGCAGAAACCGCCACTGAACGACATGGGAATACTCGGTCCGCCTGGGAGCCCATCACAATCATCTTGTCAATGGCCTTCACGTCCTCCAGCGGTTGGAACTACACGAACGTGGATTCCGCTGCTCCACCCCACATCTCTTTCGCAAAAGAGTTGGACTTGAACTGCGGAATATATCTTCGGGTCCGCATGGGCGCCCATCACGGTCATGTTGCCGACGGTCTTCACGTCGTACAGCGGTTAGAACTACCCGAAGGTAGATTCCGCTGATCCAGCCCACCTCTTTGTCGCGAACGAACTCGACTTGAGCCGCAAACCCTAACTTCGGGTCCGCATGGGCGCCCATCACGATCATTTTGCCGATGGCCTGCCCTCACGGGCTCCACCGGCTGGAACCTCACGGGAGCCTGCAGGCACACCCCGCTGCTCCAGCCAACCTCCCTGGCGAGGGCGTACGAATCGGCACCGAACGTTCTCGCGGCATCGCCGATCTCATCCGCAAGCGCGGGAGGGCCGAACGACGCGGCAGCGGAGGCTGCAACAGGTGACTACCTACCAGACCACCCCAACCCAACCCGAAGACCCGAATTTCGGGTTGGGGGGGGGGTATGGGCTCCGCATGTGTTTTCTCGATGTTCCCGGACCCCCCCCCCCCAACTGGAAATGGACGCCAAAAATTGAGGCCTTCGGGTTGGGTTGGGGTGGTTTGGTGGGTGGTGAGCAGGCGGCGCGACGCGACCGCGCGCGGGCCCTGGCGCAGAGGCGCCCGCCGCGGCGGCCGCGGGCGCCCTTCGCAGGCCGCCGAGAGCGCACGGCGGCTGCCGGCCACCTCGGCGCCGGCGGGCCGAGCGGTCTGCCTCGAAGGAGAGCCTGGGGCCGAAGAACTCTCGCAATGCAGAAAGTCCTCCTCCTCCTCCTCCTCCTCCTCCTCCTCCTCCTCCTCCTCCTGATGCTCAGCGAACTCGCCCGGGAGCTCGCCACTCGCCTTCCGCTGCCATCCGTGCCACAAGACGGTCGGGCACATTCCCCAAAGCCCATGAGCTGATCGCTCTTCGCTGAAAGCCCACTCGCCGCAATACGGTTCAAAGATGCGCATCCTCGTTCACTGTGACAGACTCCGCCTGTGAACCTGGATTCTCAAAAATCGGCGTACATGCGCGAATCAGGATCGGAAAGATCTGACCAGAGGCGGGGCATCATACCTTTTTACGGCTGAGACGTAACACTTGTGAACACCCGAGACAAGGAACGCCCAGGAGCACTGCACCTCCTTTCTGAATGACACTGGGATGCTGCGACACCCCGTTTTGGCTCCTACGTCCTACGCTTGAAGCCACGTACACCAACTCCCGGGTCAAACCCAATTACCTGTACCGTTATGTCGGGCCTGTCCCCCTACAGGAGGATCTTCGACGAAGAATAAAAAATACCCCCAAAAAACTCCTAAGAATACCCCAAAAATAGCCCGGGGGCTTTTTTTATAGTATTTGACCTTTTTGGAGTATTTCTGGGGTACTTTTATTTTTTCCTCGGAACCCCCCTGTAGGGGGACACGCCCGACATAATTGTGCCGCACTGCCGCAATGTGAAAGCAAGGGGCGTGGAGGCGCGAGGGCTGCCGCTCCTATGCGCACAGAGAGAGGTGTTCAGTGAGGCTGCCCGTCAACAGCAGCGTGCGAGGAGTGTCGGCATCGGGCACGCCCCCCTGGAGCATGTCCATTCATCCGTCCATTATCACCCCGCTCCTCCTCTTCCTCCGTCTCCCCCAGTCCACTCATCCTCCTCCTCCTCGCCCATCATCGCCAGCAACAACAACATCAACAACATCAACGACAACAGCAACAACAGCAACAACAACAGCAGTATCATCATCAGCATCATCATCGGCATCATCAACCTGGTCATCATCACCATCAGCAACATCATCAGCTGCAGAATCAGCATCGTCATCAGCATCATCATCAACAACATCAGCATCATCAACAACAGCACCATCATCAACATCATCAGCAGCAGCATCAGCATCAGCATCAGCGTCAGCATCATCATCATCATCATCATCATCATCATCATCATCATCATCATCCTCGTCGTCGTCGTCTTCGTCGTCATCATCATGACATTATCATTCTCACACTCTGCTTCCACATCTGCCTCCTCCGTCACCTCCTCCAGAGAGGCTCTCCTCAAGGATTCGCTCCGTGACCTCGGGGTACTCAAAAGTCAATGGCGCCTGCATGCCGCAAGTATGTTTTACCAGGAGAAGCGGACGAGAGCACGCGAGGAGGGAAAGAGCGATCGGCGCAGTGACAATGGGCAATCAAAGGCTGAGAGGATGGACTAATATCATGCTCATGCCAGCCATCGACTAGTGCACCCCGCCCCCACTGGTGCGACACCAAGGATTATTCCTCGTCATTGTAGCACTTCATGGCAAGCTTAAGAACCACCTGCCACGTGCGTCTTACAGCAGTCGTGACGCAGGCGCGCCATATGAGTGTTCAGCAATTGCTAAAAGAGTCCTGGACGATTGGCGTGATTTAGGTGTTTCCTGCCGACCGCATGCACATATTGTACGCTTAAGCATCGCTCATCCCGTGCGCGTAGAATGCCTGCCGAATGCTGCGCAGCTGCGGGACCAACTGGGAGGGAAAAAGGCCGGAAGGAGACGATCAAGACTAAATGGGGGCCACTGGGATGCGTATACGCAAAAACTGACCTTGCATGGCGGGCTCGATTGGCCTTACAACTGACCTCACATACGCAATAGTTGCCCTTCGGATAATGAAATTACTAAAAACAGATCATCACGATCATAATCATACTGAAAAGATGTGTGCAATTGTCGAAGAATGACACCCTGTCGCGAAGAGGCTTGTCGTCTCGGATGGTTTGTTGCGCCATGTTTCGCAGTTTTCCTGTGCCGTTGCTCTCTGGAAATGTGTCGCAACGAAGTGTGGCCACTTTTGTGTTGAAGTTGGACGGGCGGGCAGGGCGGGCTGCGAGGTGCGGGGGGGGGAATAGCATACTGCGTCTGCCGAAGCTCTACGGCTACCTATGAAGGCTAGCCTTTGAACTGACTCCCCCTTTCGTTCTTTACTTGCACGTGTACTTCAGTCACTCTGTACGGTGTTTTCCCTCCTTCCTTCGTTATGACTTTGTTCAATTGCTATTATGGTTTGTGATCTCGTCTCTCTCTCTCTCTCTCTCTCTCCACCCCTCCGCATCGGCGGCGGGCATCGTTACTCCACGCCCTTCGGGCACTCAGCTTTTACCATTACGTACTCTTCAAGGCTCCTGTTCCACACGGGCCTGCCGCCTAGTTCACCTTTAAATTGTCTATCGCTGCGCTCAAGTCGTTAGTTCGGCATCGGGTGCAAACAGACCATGCAACAGGCCCCGCCTCATGTTTGCCGAACATCGGAAAAGGAGGAAGAGGAGGGCGACGACCACAACGACCACGACGACGACAACGACGACGACGACGACGACGACGACGACCACGGCGACGACGAACACGACGAAGACGACCGACGACGACGACCGACAGCCGACGAGGAGGAGGAGGAGGAAGAGGAGGAGGAGGAGGAGGAGGAGGAGGAGGAGGACGACGACGACGACGACGACGACGACGACCGACGGCCGAAGACGAGGATAGCGAGGCGGACGGCCCCCGACCCTCGCAGCCCTCGCCTCGGAGTCGCCCTCGCCCTCGTCCCGGGGGGGCAGCAGGCACGCCCCCTCGTAGTACCCCGGCGTGCGGCCGAACCTGTGCTGCGGGCTCGGCGCCTGCAGCCGCACCTCGCTGCGGGGGAGGCCCTCGGGCCGACCTCCTCCTCCACGCCCCCTCCTCCACTCCTTCCACTCCCCCTCCTCCACTCCCCCTCCTCCACTCCCCCTGCACTCCCCCTCCTTCCTCCTCCCCCTCCTTCCTCCACTCCCCCTGCACTCCCCCTCCCCTCTTCCTCCTCCCTCCATTCCCCCTGCACTCCTCCTCCTCCACTCCCCCTCCTCCTCCTCCACTCCTCCTCCCCTCCTCCACTCCTCCTCCTCCACTTCCCCTCCTCCACTCCTTCCACTCTCCCCCCTGCAGGTTCAGCAGAAGCCTGCTGAAGAAGCCTGGGACATTGAACAAGCTGCCTCCGCAAGCCGTTCCGAGGATCTCAAGATTGACGAATAATTAGCCTGGCGACGTACCCAACCCCTGCGCAATGCGGGGCAGGAGTAGCTTGGGAGACTTGACGAGAAGGCGGCGACGTGGCATGGACGCGTATACTTCTGCGAGCGGCATTCGGGAGGTTCGCAGGTCCCCAATCAAAGGAAAAACGATGAGTAACTAAGTGAACCCCTGAGTCACTAAGGAAGACGCAAGGTCCAAAAGGAGACTGTGGGCAAGGGGC